GCCAGCAAGGTGGAGGTGGAGTACTGGTTTGGGCTGGTATAATCAAAGATGAGCTTGTGGGGCCTTTTCGGGTTGAGGATGGAGTCAAGCTCAACTCCCAGTCCTACTGCCAGTTCCTGGAAGACACCTTCTTCAAGCAGTGGTACAGGAAGAAGTCTGCATCCTTCAAGAAAAACATGATTTTCATGCAGGACAATGCTCCATCACACGCGTCCAAGTACTCCACAGCGTGGCTGGCAAGAAAGGGTATAAAAGAAGAAAATCTAATGACATGGCCTCCTTGTTCACCTGATCTGAACCCCATTGAGAACCTGTGGTCCATCATCAAATGTGAGATTTACAAGGAGGGAAAACAGTACACCTCTCTGAACAGTGTCTGGGAGGCTGTGGTTGCTGCTGCACGCAATGTTGATGGTGAACAGATCAAAACACTGACAGAGTCCATGGATGGCAGGCTTTTGAGTGTCCTTGCAAAGAAAGGTGGCTATATTGGTCACTGATTTGTTTTTGTTTTGTTTTTGAATGTCAGAAATGTATATTTGTGAATGTTGAGATGTTATATTGGTTTCACTGGTAATAATAAATAATTGAAATGGGTATATATTTGTTTTTTGTTAAGTTGCCTAATAATTATGCACAGTAATAGTCACCTGCATACACAGATATCCCCCTAACATAGCTATAACTAAAAACAAACTAAAAACTACTTCCAAAAATATTCAGCTTTGATATTAATGAGTTTTTTGGGTTCATTGAGAACATGGTTGTTGTTCAATAATAAAATTAATTCTCAAAAATACAACTTGCCTAATAATTCTGCACTCCCTGTATAAACCTATAGATACACATATTTAGGCTACAACATCACTTTTAAGAGTGCTGATTCTGCTGTTAATCAATGCCAGCCTTCGAAGACATGATAATATGTAGGCCAGTCTTTATTGAAAGCCAGATTTGATAATAAATGGCAGAGTCAATAGACAATGAGGTTTTTTTGTGGCCACAGGAACATTGGTAATGTTGATCTTCAACAATGGCCAATAAAGATATCTTACATTCATCCCCAAATATGTTCAGTGCGGTTCAGGTCAATATTCTTTGCTGGCTTGTCAGCTTTCATCATATAATCTCAGTAACCCATTTTTGCACATTACCTGCTGGATAATAAATTAAAGTAAATTAAACTTTAATCACTTGAATCCGAATTCCTATAGAGCCTTAAAGTCTCCATCATATTAACACTACAATGTTACATCATAATGTAAACACATAATAGTTGTCTAATTATAACATATATGCATTGTGGCTTTATTGGATATGAATACTAATAATTATTGTTCATTCATAAAACTCATAAAAGATCCAAGATATATAAAAATACAGACATAAGGATAATATATATATATATATGTATATATATATATATATATATATATATATATATATATACACTTTTTAATAAATGTAAAAATTAAATTAAATGGTAAATGAAATATTAAATTGTAAATGATAGGATTACAATATTCAAATTTAAAATAAATATTGAAATAGATCATTTGAAATTAGGTTGAATCAGTGATAATGATTCAAATCTAATATGATTGTTGAGATATTGGGAGTATAGGGATTTGGATCTATCTCTGTCGTGATTTATATCACATTTTAGTGTTAACATGATGGAGTCATATTTGAAAATATGACTGATCATGCAAAAAAAATATATTAAAGGATAACGATCATATGAAGCGATTAATTATCACATAGTTGTTTGGTTCCTTTTTAAATCATAATGATAACAGAAATCACCCAAATGGCAGTGATCAAAAGTTTACATACCCTTGAATGTTTGTCCTTGTTACAGACACACAAGGTGACACACATAGGTTAAAATGTCAATTAAAGGTAAAATCAATTAGTTTGTTAGCTCTCATGTGGATGCACTGAGTAGGCTAGATACTGAGCCATTGGGAGCAGAAAAGAACTTACAAAACACCTGCGTAACAAGGTAATGGAACTTTATAAAGATGGAAAAGGATATAAAAAGATATCCAAAGCATTAAAATGCCAGTCAATACTGTTCAGTCACTTATCAAGTAGTTGAATATTCGGGGATCTCTTGATACCAAGCCAAGGTCAGGTAGACCAAGAAAGATTTCAGCCACAACTGCCAGAAGAAATGTTCGGGATACAAAGAAAAACCCACAGGTAACCTTAGGAGAAATACAGACTGTTCTGGAAAAAGACGGTGTGGTTGTTTCAAGGAGCACAATATGACAATATTTGTACAAAAATTAGCTGCATGATTGAGTTGCCAGAATAAAGCTTTAACTGTGCCAATGCCACAAAAAGCCCAGTTACAATAGGCCCGACAACACCTTGACATGCCTCCCAACTTCAGGTCACTGTAATTTAAAGTGATGAGACCAAAATAGATCTTTACAGTCACAACTATAAGCACTATGTTGGGAGAAGCATCAACAAGGCCTATAGTAAAAAGAATACCATTCCCACTGTGAAGCATGGTGATGGCTCACTGATGCTTTGGGGGAGGTGTGAGCTATACAGGCATGGGGAATCTTGTGAAAATTGATGGAAAAAAAATATTAATGCAGCATGTTATCAGAAAACACTGGCAGACAATTTGCATTCTTCTGCACGAAGGCTGCGCATGGGACGCTCTTGGACATTCCAGCATGCCAATGACCCTAAGCACAAGGCCAAGTTGACCCTCCAGTGGTTAAGGTCAGGAGGGGGCATCACAGTCTACTGACCTTAATATCATTGAGTCACTCTGGGGAGATCTATAACGTGCTTTTCATGCAAGATGACCAAAGACTTTGCATGACCTGGAGGCATTTTGTGAAGACGAATGGCCAGCTATACCACGAGCAAGAATTAGTGTCTTCATAGAGAACTATTACAAAAGACTGCATGCTGTAATTGATGCTAAAGGGAGCAATAACCAGTATCAAGAACTAAGGGTATGCAGACTTTTGAACAGGGGTCATTTCATTTTTTTTATTTTATGATTGTGCCATTCTGTTATAACCTACAGTTGAATATGAATCCCATAAGAAATAAAAGAAATTTGTTTTGCCTGCTCACTCATGTTTTCTTTAAAAATGGTACATATAGTTGCAAGAAAAAGTATGTGAACCCTTTGGAATGATATGGATTTCTGCACAAATTGGTCATAAAATGTGATCTGATCATCTAAGTCTCAACAATAGACAACCACAGTCAGGTTAAACTAATAACACACAAAGAATGAAATATTGCCATGTTTTTATTGAACACACCATGTAAACATTCACAGTGCAGGAGGAAAAAGTATGTGAACCCCTAGACTAACGACATCTCCAAGAGCTAATTGGAGTGAGATGTCAGCCAACTGGAGTCCAATCAATGAGATGAGATTGGAGGTATTGGTTACAGCTGCCCTGCCCAATAAAAAACACACACCAGTTCTGGGTTTGCTTTTCACAAGAAGCATTGCCTGATGTGAATGATGCCTCGCACAAAAGAGCTCTCAGAAGACCTGCGATTAAGAATTGTTGACTTGCATAAAGCTGGAAAGGGATATAAAAGTATCTCCAAAAGCCTTGCTGTTCATCAGTCCACGGTAAGACAAATTGTTTATAAATGGAGAAAGTTCAGCACTGCTGCTACTCTCCCTAGGAGTGGCCATTCTGTAAAGATGACTGCAAGAGCACAGCAGAGACTGCTCAGTGAGGTGAAGAAGAATCCTAGAATGTCAGCTAAAGACTTACAAAAGTCACTGGCAAATGCTAACATCCCTTTTAGCGAATCTACAATTCGTAAAACACGAAACAAGAATGGATTTCATGGGAGGATACCACAGAGGAAGCCACTGCTGTCCAAACAAAACACTGCTGCACGTTTACAGTTTGCACAAGAGAACCTGGATGTTCCACAGCAGTAATGGCAAAATATTCTGTGGACAGATGAAAGCAAAGTTGAGTTGTTTGGAAGAAACACACAACACTATGTGTGGCGAAAAAAAGGCACAGCACACAAACATCAAAACCTCATCCCAACTGTGAAGTATGGTGGTGGGGGCATCATGGTTTGGGGCTGCTTTGCTGCATCAGGGCCTGGACGGATTGCTATCATCAAAGGAAAAATGAATTCCCAAGTTTATCAAGACATTTTGCAGGAGAACTTAAGGTCATCTGTCTACCAGCTGACGCTCAACAGAAGATGGGTGTTGCAACAGGACAATGACCCAAAGCATAGAAGTAAATCAACAACAGAATGACTTAAACAGAAGAAAATACGCCTTCTGAAGTGGCCCAGTCAGGGTCCTGACCTCAACCCGATTGAGATGCTGTGGCATGACCTCAAGAAAGCGATTCACACCAGACATCCCAAGAATATTGCTGAACTGAAACAGTTCTGTAAAGAGGAATGGTCAAGAATTACTCCTGACCATTGTGCATGTCTGATCTGCAACTACAGTAAACATTGGGTTGAAGTTATTGCTGCCAAAGGAGGTTCAACCAGTTATTAAATCCAAGGGTTCACATACTTTTTCCACCTGCACTGCGAATGTTTACATGGTGTGTTCAATAAAAAGCATGACAACATTTCATTATTTGTGTCTTATTAGTTTAAGCAGACTGTGATTGTCTATTGTTGTGACTTAGATGATGATCAGATCACATTTTATGACCAATTTGTGCAGAAATCCATATCATTCCAAATGGTTCACATACTTTTTCTTGCAACTGTATATTACCAATTTTCCAAAAGGGTATGCAAACTTTTGAGCACAACTGTATATATTTCAATATCTTTGTATATTGAGTACATAACTAATGAGATGTCTTATGGTTTTGTCCCACTGTATATTTTTGTATATTTTTATTTATAAGTAGTAATGTCCCGAACTGTTCGCGAACGGTTCGCGAACGGTTCGCCACGAACGGTTCGCCACGGACTCATCATTGAGTAAACTTTGACCCTGTACCTCACAGTCAGCAGACACATTCCAGCCAATCAGCAGCAGACCCTCCCTCCCAGACCCTTCCACCTCCTGGACAGCTCACTAAGAATGCAGCTTCACAATGGATGCTGTCCAGGAGGTGGGAGGGTCTCGGAGGGAGGGTCTGCTGCTGATTGGCTGGAATGTGTCTGCTGACTGTGAGGTATAGGGTCAAAGTTTACTCAATGATGAGTCCGTGGCGAACCGTTCGTGGCGAACCGTTCGGCGAACAGTTTGGGACATAACTATTTATAAGCTATTGTCATTATTGCAGGTTTTCATTATCTCACTCCATCTCTTTATAATTTATATACACTTTTTTTAGCATTTTTTTTTTTATAATTTTGTATACATATATTTACATATGGAGATTTACATATATAACAATGAAAGATGGAATTTCTTAAAGGACCACGATTACTCTCTATTTTGACATATAAGGAAATATTGAATAACACCTTATTTTTTTTTGTGACATGGAAAGGTTAACCCATTTGGGCTTTATTGATTCACTTGATTGCACACATTTACTTGCACTTTCTTGATTGGTTGGTTTTTGACGTGTACACCGATAAAGCATTTTTTTATTTTTAACTTTATATATGGCTTGATAAAGACACACGTAGTGTTGAAACATTGCCCTCTTCCTCGGATGGTTGAATAAATCACCATTGCATCATTGAATGCTGTGTGCTGGATTAATATTTTCCTTTGTCAGCCACTAGAGTACTGTATGTCATAAGAGACAATGTAAACAGTGCATTTGATCAGAAAAGGAAATTTTTGCATTGCGGAGACTGCAGGGACATTCTCTTTGCACCAAAATCACTACATTAGGCTGTGTTGGTTATATATGTAATATAAAAAAGACTGACTCCTTAATGTTGTAATTTTATAGTGTGGGGATGTAACCAAATAAAGCCACATGATGGAAGCTAGCACCGAACAGTCATATTTGCTATCATTGTCATGGGGCCAATCTACTTTTCAACAAAGGTGATAAAGTTTCACCAACTAGAATTTGATATAAATAAAACACTTAACGATTTTCTCCAGTATCAACAGAAATAACCAGTTTGCTAAACACACGTGGAAACTTTAGAAGGTAATATTAAGTACGTATTAGATATTAAGCTGGTGTATTACGAATGTAAAACAAAAATTGTTTTTCCATAGTTCATCCTCAGGTTCCTTTTCCTATCAATCTCCCTTTTTAGTTATCCCCCCAATAAGACTAGTCCTTCCATGATAGCTCTTCCCATTATGTCTAGCATGTAGTAGAAATGGAAGCCAGTATAAACCTTTGACTTTTAACAGGAGAAAATTCTAAGGACAATATTCGTTGATTATAAAATTGCATAAGTTAGCCATGTCAGCAGCTAATATATTAATTACTTAATTGCTTTGTGCTGAATTTTCATTTGTCACTCTACACGACATAACGGAAGAGATAGCGGTGAAAAAGATATTCGATCATAACGTAAAAATGATATTCAATCCTTGTGCAAAAAAGGCAGGACAAAAATGTTCGGGTGTAATATACTTATATGTCAAAATAGAGAGTAATCGTGGTCCTTTAAGAAATTCCATCTTTCATTGTTATATATGTAAATCTCCATATGTAAATATATGTATACAAAATTATAATATTACACCCGAACATTTTTGTCCTGCCTTTTTTGCACAAGGATTGAATATCATTTTTACGTTATGATCGAATATCTTTTTCACCGCTATCTCTTCCGTTATGTCGTGTAGAGTAAAATAATAATACAGATATTCAGTTCCTCTAACAGCATGTAAAATGGTCGAGAATTACATCGGCTAAGAAGCAATTTGAAAAATAAGATGTAATTTACGATAACACACAGTTAATTTAATGGCATTTTAGGAACTGATTGTGAATTGCTGCGTGTTGATGATTTATAAGACTTTATTGGATGACAGTTTGATCCTCTAAAATGTATTTAAGATGGAGAAATGAAAATATAATTTATTAGACTAAGGTTAGGGGTAAGATGAGACCATTTTCTAAAGGAATAGACAGATGCTTACTAAATATATTCTGTTTGTGAGGCTTTGTTTTTCTAAGGAATCCAGATCAGCTAATGTGCTTGAAAAGGTTTTTTTTTAATATATATATATTTTGCAACAAAAAACCCTTTGCAAGAACACACACTTAAAACTTCCTTTTGGGCTAACCATATTTATAAATCAAAATTATGTGCCCTGAGGGGAAAGGGAAATAAAACTATTTCCAAATAAAAAAAATAAAATGGTAAGTGATTCATTTCAGTTAAAATGATAATTGAAAATGCAGAAAGTAGAGACTTATTCACGTCCAGCTGAATGTTGTTTTATTTTTAATATTTACTTTTGTTACATATAATATGTGCCTGGTTAAGATGATGAAAGCCATAAATTTACTGCTTCAAATCTTTAAAATAAGTGAAAAATAATAAGCTTAAACCAGATTTAAGGTCTATACTTCCTCTTTAGCAAAATGGCAATGTTCTTCTTTACTTTACGTTTTGACAGACAATCCTTGCTAAATTATTTTTTTATTTAGTGTAAAAGAAAATAAATGCCTTTTTTGAGTATTTTATTTATTCATTTATTTATTTTGTATTAATTCTGTTTCACAGAAAGATTGTATATTACAGCCACAATCAACGCAAGCCCCATTTCACTTTTCCTTCGAAGAAGCGGAATTTTACTCAATTTTCAATTAAATGTACGTTTCATTTTAAGAATTAAAAGAACATTATGGACTCATAAAATACTTAAAATTTATATCATTCTAATATGTTTAAGAATGTTTAAATAATAGAAAAAGAAAAGTTTATTTGAAAGCTATAAATTATAAAAAGAAAAAAAGAGCTGGTTAATGCGTTGTTGTAAGTCTTTACTGTCAGTTTCGCTAGCGTTCTCTCCCTACACTCTACCATTTAAGTGATTCTCATTCGAAAATATGCACTTACACAACCAATGATTATGTAATGGTTGCTACTGAAGTCATCACAATGTTAATAAATTAACAGGCAAAGCAGTGTCAGTTCATGATATATACTTTTAGAACAAAAATAATACTTGTGTACAAATTACTATAAATAGAGTTTCAGTAAAGTAGATTCTGGACATCTATGAGATCCAGTCACAAAGGACCAAGTTGTATATCTATGTTTGGATGCAGTTCTTTAAGAGTGGGATCCTGGGCATGGGAGCAAAATAAACGTTTTACGTTAATATCTCAGTGATGAATGTTTTTCGTTAACTCATATCTCAGTGATCTACTCCAAGACTACTGATGATGACCCTACTGACAAGGGAATGACAATGTATATAATGAGGAAGACTAGGAAGTAAAGTGTCTCCTAAAAGTAATTTTCTAGCAACACTGCCTATTAATTTCTGTTACATAGTTTCATAGCAATCAATAAAGACTTAAGACTTTTTTTGTCAGTAAAGACTTAAGCCCATTAAGTTCAACTTTTAAAACCCATTCCTTTATGCTGTTGATCCAAACAAAGGAGGCAGATGCCTTGATGCCTATTGCGACCATGTGACCGCTTTTTCAGCGGGCAAGTACATAGGATTACCTCGGATGTACTAGGTACGTCCAAAGTCCTGGGGGGGAGGGCTTTAGTAAAATGTTTGTATTTTAAATTTTTTTAAATTAATTAATTTATTTCATTTATTTGACTGAGTGCCTGGTTCCCTTGAGGCACTCAGCAGACAGGCAGAGCATCGGTAGACTGCCTGATGGCTACCGATGCTCTGCCTCACTGCTGGGTTCCACGTGGGGCAACTTGGAATTGGAGTGATCACCAGACGGCCCAGCAATGAGGGGGGGTATTAGCGGCCCAGCAATGAGGGGGGGTATTAGCAATAGCCTTAGAGTGGCTGGAAGTGAAGCGGATGTATCAGGTACGTCCAAGGTCGTTAACGACCAGTTTTTGTCGGACGTACCTGATACGTCCGCGGTCATTAAGGGGTTAAACTGAAGACTAAGTTAAAAAAAAGTGGGGTTATTAAAACAAAATGACTCTTTGCTACAGAAAAATGAAACAAAACATAAATTTTCGTGATAACATTCCTTTATGATGGGAAATCTACTAATAAGTGTTATTGTTGAAGAAAATATTGCTTAGCTCAGTAAGATTTCCTAATGAATACGTGACAGAATAACTAAGTTTAAATAGGAAGCGGTGACAATGTGTGCGATTTCCAGAATCTCTCAAGAAGTTGTGGTAATACTGTACTTGCTTGGTGTGATTTTTTTTTTACATTAGTTTTTGTGGTTTTACAAATCAGACAATGTGAGACTTGCTGCAGAGATGTGATCCATCGTCACAAGTTACAAGCCTGGGGAACGTTTTGGGGAAAAACATTCAATACCATGTCATACAATTAGAGGCAGAGATAACCTGTTAACTTTGTAGGTTTTTGAACTGGATAACGATTATTTGGTTAGTAATTCACCACAAGCACAGAGCAAAGTTTAACTATTACTGGGATTATTCAATAAACTCTGAAGGTTCTCGCAAATTGCTTTTCCTCTATTGACAAATCTAAATAATGTGATAAAAAAATCATTGCCACACAGTATAATAACTGGGATGTGTATGAAAGACCAAACTATCCTTAAATTGGGCATTAAAATGTCAGAGAATAGACACATTTGACAACTGCAGAGGACATAAGGACCTGCTATCAACTATCATTGTTGATCTACTTTATAATTTCACCCATGTACGGTCCAGCAGACCCCTATGTACAACACTGGTCCTGCTTGGTAGTCTTCAGCTCTCAGTCATAAGTATTCCTGGTTCGGATTTGGGCATGAATCCCTGAAATGGGGATCTTTAACCCATGATCTCTGTTGAAAGTGGAGGGGCAGGATGATAATAGTGTTTTGTTTTTATAATTTTCATTTTACATCAGGCAGCTGGTTCTATAACCAGTCACCAGATATAAAAAGAAACAACCTACATGTCTGGTTGGGAACACCACATCTTACTTTGTGCTTTTTGACACACTACTAAGGTTATTTTGTTATCTGCACCAAATTATAGACCTGCGAGTCTAATACCCGTTGAACCATCACGTTTACATTGTATATTTCATTTACATTGTATATCTCACCGCATCAT